GGCAACTCCCGTCAAACTTTCTTGCACATCCATTTAAACTAAACGTTCTTCCTGTCAATGTAACACGACGACTGAAGACGCCGCGTGACCGCGTAATGCATACCTACCAACCGATAACGATAATCGCACACATCTTTACGTAGCGAGCTCTCGACCAATCAAAACCTCGAATGGGAGGAGTTTCGCCCCTTCAAGTGGGAACTCTATCTATCAGAGATAAAGCCGACAGCATGAGCTGTATAGAAGCTGTACAGAAGTATGTCATTGAACCACAAAAAGTTAATAAACTTTATAAATAAAAGCAATTATCACTTTGCACACATGTTACAGCATCCGTGTAGTTTAAACATATTAAACACATTTTCCTTTAAATATCATTGGTACCTTAATTAATGTCGTGCTTATGAACTTTAAAAAAACAGGGTAATGTGTTTATAAGACCACATGGGGTCGTAAGCCAACATATGAAACTGTCTACTCTCGTTACACGTTAAATTTGACTGAAGTTGTTTTTCCGACCCGTACAGTTCAACAGACAAGTAGAAAGTGAAGCTTTATCCACATACCTACATTCCCCGCTTGAAGCGCCTAAATGTTCCGTCTTTCCGCCGTCAGATGTCAGACAAGACCTGACAACCTGGAGTGTGTAGTACACATGCAGTGTTGCTACTACCTTACGAACACGTTTCAATGGCGGTGGAGGGCATGGGTGAAGATACCAAATTTGTTGGAAACTTGTAGGAAACAATCTGTTTCTTCTCACCACCTCACAATTACTCGCGATAGCAAAGGCAATTATTTTTCTTGGTTCAGCGAATTCATGCCAGGTCGAACAGGTGAGGTTTCAGTGGTTTCTTCCAAGTTAAGGTATCACAGAGATACAGCTTCGCACACTTCAAGGTTGTGTAAGCTTCGATTGGCAGCGCAGTTACGACGTTCAGTGATCGCAGTTCGAGAAGCGCTTATTTTTTACGTAAAAAATTACCCAGTAATAAGTGTTCCTCTGAAGGATACGTTCCCTGTGTCACCCGACATCTGCAAGGCCGTCTGTAGAAAGACCTGGTGCAGCAGAGGCGGGTGAGGCACAGATGGGTAGGGTCAAATTTAGAAAAAATATGTTCAAATTTTCGAAATATAAAAAAACTCTGCAAATCTGGTGAAAAGCGCAAAAAACAAAAAATTTTCGGAAAATTCTAGAAAAATTTAAAAGTTGAAAATTTTCAAAAATTCTTAGTTTTGTGCGCTTTTTGGACGATTTCCTAGGTTTTTGATTTTCCGAAAATTTTCGAAAAAATTGAAATTTCTTTTTGAAAAATTTCAAAAAAATTCAAAATTTTAAAAAATTAAAAATGGTTGCAAATGGCATGAAAAGCGAAGATAACTACAAATTTTCGAAATTTTCGGCAAAAACTTTGAATTTGAAATTTTTCAAAAAATTTTGGTTTTGTGCGATATTTGGACATTTTCCTACATTTTTTAATTTTTTGAAAATTTTGAAAAATTTTATCTCTTATCAAAATTTTCTCCACACTATCCCGGCCAGGACCGTCTGTGTACGACCCGGTCACTTCCGTTCCCTTTCTCTGAGGGACGCGGAGTCTGCCGAACTCGCTCTCTGCAGGATACGTTCTCTGTGTCACCCGACATCTGCCAGGTCGTCTGTGGAAAGACCTGGTTCGGCAGAGGCCGGGTGAGGCACAGACCGAAGCAAGCAGAGGTGTGATTTTCCGAAGTTTCGAAAATTTTTTGAAAAATTTTCAAACTTTTAAAAAAATGTAAAAATGGTTGCAAATGGCATGAATAGCGAAGATAACTACAAATTTTCGACAAAAATTTTGAATTTGAAATTTTTCAAAAAATTTTGGTTTTGTGCGCTATTTGGACATTTTCTTACATTTTTTTATTTTTTGAAAATTTTGAAGATGCCTGCGTCATCAGGGGAGTATGACCTCTGAAACGTTGGTAAACATTGACCAGACTTCACGGCGCAATAACCCAGAAGATAGAAATATTCATACTCATCGCTGTGAAAACCACAAATACTATATGGGGTATATATTCGATTAATTTACTTCTTCATTAACAACTACAGTCGAGTTGTAACTATTAAGAAATTTAAATGATGAATCGGGATGGGTACGAGAGAAAGTGGCAAGTGACAATCTTTAAGGCATTAGCATTATGGGACTAAGGAAATCCACAAAAATCTCATTTTGGATAGCCAGTTTAAGATGGAATTCAAATAGAGCAATCCAGTTGCTAATCTACAGACTTTTCTCACAAGAAATGATACAGTCAACATCGGACATTACAACAAGGACTAGTGATCACCAAATGTGTAATGGCGCTGAAGTGCCATAGCGACATGCTGTGTGAATATTTTCGTTTATTTATTTATTTGTAGTGTTCTGTCTGACGACAGGTCCATATATCATGAACAGGATCCTCCCATCCTTTTCTCGGACTGGGACCTGTTCATATACGTTCTTGGCAGATGATCCAGAAGTGGTTTGCCATTGCCTTCTGCTGGGTGTGAATGGAGTAATTGTTGGGATGCCACAGAGGAAAACTCCGTGTTGCCTAGACCACGGCCTTGCCCAACACAAGTTATAAATTCGAACCCGTGACCCCAGGATTACAGGACCAGCGTGTTCGGCTGCATGGAGTCTATTTTCTAAGTAACAAGTCCCACAAAACATATACAGACTAAAATAATGCGTGAGGTTCATAACATGACCAAATCTGCGTTTATGACATTTCATATTCTGACGTTACGAGTTCTGGGACATTGCGCCGTGTACTTTGGTTGAAAGTGGCTAAAAGTACCTTCATCATCAAGTCGGTGAGGCATCAAAGACCTCTGAAACGCCTATAAACTTCTGCTAGACTACACGGCGCTACAACTCAGCCGTGAGAACCTCAAATTCTACTTTGTGCGAAGTAATCGGAGAGCCCCAGCTTCACAGTTTTCGGGCCGAACTGCTTCCCTTCGTCTCATCGTCATTCAACTGTTCTTGTGTGTAGCAACTCCATGTTAAATAGGCGTGAAGTGGAATTATAAATAGAAGTGTCCCAACGCTAGATGCAATATTACAGAATCGACACGCGACAACTTTCATCCTTTGATGAACTTCACATAAATAATGTAAAGACGCTGATGAATTAATCAACGACACGCACACTACGCTTCGATCAGGTACACTATCGATACACGATCAGTCCTTACGTGCGTCTCAAGTCTGGTTAGATGAGCGACTTTACACAGGTTGCTGCTGCTTCTTGTAGCTTTTAAAGATTGGAAGTGTTGGCCTGATTTCAGTAATAATCCATTGTAAAATTATGCATCGGCTTTGACATTAGGTAGGACTCACTGGACATACGTATTCCTCCGAAATATATCCAACATCGACTTTTTCACCGCCGTGAGAGCCTCATGTATCATTTTGTTACTTCATATTTGTTTTATATTTCCCTGGAAACGGATGTACATTGAAGTGGAAAATGCTCCGATATGGCTAGCGGTACTTCGGAAATCACAGAAATTTTAAAAATAAAAAATAAAAATATTATTATTATTATTATTATTATTAAAGAACCATACCAATGTGATGCAACTGAAGGGGGTATTAATAATACTGCACTTCCGGATGGCCTGGCTTCTATACCAGGATTTACCACTAGTATTACCCGTGTCGAGATTATTGGCCACGGAGAGCAATCTGCATATTTATTTACTGCTTATTTAATGACGTTATAAATAGCTCAGTTTATGTAGCATCGAATGTCAGTATGATTAATGACTAATAGATTCAAGACAAAGTGGAAAGGAGTGGTTATGAAATATTTTGGGTACTGTCTCAAGATTATCTCAAAGGGAATGACCAAACACGGAGTCTGATTTATGCAACTGGATTCCAGATTGAGAATCGAAGCCGGGACCTCACAAATAAAATAGAGTGCCAATCCTTCCGTCGCTAATTTCTGCGTTGTAGGACCCTTGGTATTTTCAATTACAAAATAGGTACGAGTCCTTCAGAACGGGTTAAAGTTATTTTGTCATTTTTCGCAATACTGGTCTTAACGGTGGAACATTATATTGATTATGCTGAAAAATGGGGTACAGAATGTGACATCGACGATAACTGATAACAGGAAATGAATAATAGTTCTAGAGCAATACAGAACAAAATGGTTTAATATTGAATGGCACACTGATGATGACACAACAGGGCTGAAAGGCGTATGTCAGAATAAGTGACAAGTGCGAATAAACACTGTTGGTAGGTACGCGAGGTCAATACAATTAATTTCAAACCGCACTGTATAAAAGGGCATAAGACGCTGAACTAAACTTGCTCGATTTAATATTACCTCGTACTAAATACAGGGAGAAAGTATAGTTTAACTCCTCAGCGCGGAGCGTTGTACGATGCGCCTGAACGCGCCGCAACCCAACTGACCTGAACGTTTCGCGGACAACATGAAAATGACATTATTGCATTTTCAGCGCGTATACTGCACAGGAAACAATGGAAACAAGATTGAAATGTTTATAAACAAGATATCTGCCACTTCGCATACCTCATTGTTATTTACATTCGGGATAAAGCCGGCCGGGGCGTGCTGACCACTCACCCCCATCTAGTGCCGATGTATGTACCGTCGCATTGACGAGCCGGGATAGCTCAGTCAGTATAGTGACTAGCTACGGGCTGGACGGCCGGGGTTCGAATCCCGACGGGGGGGGGGGCAGGGGAATTTTTTCCTCTGGCCTCTGCGTCCAGACCGGCTCTGGGGCCCATCCAGCCTCCTCCACAATGGGTACCGGGGTCTTTTCCTCGGGATAAAGCCGGCCGGGGCGTGCTGACCACTCACCCCCATCTAGTGCCGATGTCAAGAATGAGTAGGAGCTATACCTCCACTCCCCCCCAAGCGCCTACATGGCGTATAGTGGGACAAACTTTACTTTACTTTACCGTCGCATTGAAGAATCACACAGCTCAGTAGGAATCTGTTTATTTCTTCACTGTACTTTCGTTAAATATTCACCATATCGAAAAACATTACAATAGAAGTTACAGAATCTAGAAGGATATTTACTTTAAGCATTTAAAAACTTTCGTAAGAGGAGCCATTTTTGAGAAAGTGGACAAGTTCCACGCAAGCTTTATGCTTGGTACGGTTTACACTCACCTCGAAAATATAACACAGATCTCCTAGCACAAAAATTCATCCAATTTTGTTGCACAGGTTCGAAGATCAAACATGCACAAACAACCTATAGTACACTTTTGGTAGTATAGTATTTGATGTTCTCACTGCGGTGAGTGCGAAGATTGGTGTCTTCTGGGTTGGAGTGCTTAGTGGTTTTGTAGAAGTTTGCCGACGTTTCAGAGGTCTCTGCTACCCTCATCAGGGCACTGTGATATAAATTATAACACTCTATACAACAGTCCGAAATACGTTTTACAACAAATTTCAAAATTTACTGGTTCACAAAAAACTCTGTCGCTTTATCAGATGCATTTCGGCAACAGAGAGCGTTCCCGAGGAAACCAACAACTGTTATCCAGCGGACAGCAAAGTGCAGGTCAGGATCACCGTTACAGTCTGTTCCGTTGGTCAGACTGACGTCATCTCGGTGTTCACTGAGGCACTGGCAGTGCTGGACCACTGCAGAACATCTAACATTGGGGCTAGTGACCGTTTTGTGGCAGGGGTTACAACAGAGTTGGGCCAGTGACAACGAATCACTACGCTGGTATTTACTGTTTCTTAACAATATTTTGATAAATTTACGTTGAGGTTAGAACGCAGTCTGAATGTTTCCTGCGATGATGCTGGGATAAGCCGCCTGGGAGCTGGAAAATTTTCGTAACGAGTGCGTCCGCAATATAAAAGAAAAATAATATCAGTGATTCAATCGACGAGGATTAGATGGGCACAAGATGTAGCACGTATGGGTAAAATGTGAAGCGCGTAGATATTTTTGTCTCTCTCCCCTTGTCTATTTCTTTTCAGCCTCTTTTTCTCTCTCTCTCTCTTCCTGTTTACCTCGCTCACTCTCTTACTTTATTTCTCTTTCGTTACACCTTAGTTCTTTATTCGAATCCTGACACGGGTTTCGTAATGTCTACGCAATAAATATTCAACCGCTAACTTTAAGATGATTGCTGCCTGTGAGGAATCGACATTACTGAAAGTGTACTCGATTAAAATCAGCGGTCATCCGGGTTTTAGTGCCGTGTAATTTTGTAGGTGGTTACCAGTGTTTCGCGGTCCAAAGTTAAGGGCTTCATCTGTGACCCGGTACGTGGCTAGTCTCAGGGTAAAAATAGCATCGCTTCCCTATTTTCTTTTCCATAACCCACATACAGACTGTGACCGTCAAGAAAATCTCCATTACAGTCTGAAGGTATTGTTTTCACTCCACCCAAACCAAGATCGTACTCTTGTAACATACGATAAGTATGCAATACTGGAGAAGGGTGGGGGAGGTCCTTAAAATTTCAGTTGGGATACTGAAGAATAAGCTGGACCTTGGGGAAATCAGTTGTATCAACGCGGATAATGTTCTCCTGTCCACTGGACAGACGCCACATTCAGGATGCATAATTACCAGGCAGCTCGTTAGTTGTTTTGGTATCAGAGTCATAAATAAATATTTTACCCCGTCATTTGTTAATCTGCACTGTGCTGTGCCGCATTTTGGCCACTTCGGTTTCCTGCCCGAAACGACCCGGAAATGGTCTTCAAAGCAATATTTGAATTTCCAATTCATATCTGCTGAAAAGAAAGAACTGCGTAACAGCCATTGTAGTCTGCTTAACATAACAATTACAGAGGAAGAGGTTTACTGTTACTCGTTTGCGGATAAGTAAAGTAAGGTAGGCGGATGGGGTTGAGCGGTCAGTGTCACGTCCCAGCCACAGGCATTGGTGTCCGATGGTAAATCTCTTCCACAAAAATGCAGTTGCACAAAGACAGCGTTATTCCACGGCTCTTACTTATAAGCCCTTATTCTCACGGCAACAGACGCATCCCATCAGCAGGACCACCGACGTGACGAGGAAGGCAACTGCTATGAACGGCGTAAGAGTTGTCCATAATGTCACGTTCTCCGCGCCTGCAACACAAAACAACAAACGCACAATTACAGGAGTTGTCCTTAGTCTCTTTAGGTGGCAAAAGGCTGCAGACCGATACAGAAAGAAATTAAATTCACCCGAAAACATTCAGTATAGACTCGAATGTAGTCACGAGGGGCATTTTAGTAACGCGGGCAAAAAATTAAGCGCGTTCCTGACCATCGCGACCCACTTTCAGAAGTGTGTAAGACGATGCAATTTAGCGACCATGTGACTTTCTGCAAACAAATATTTTAAAGACATAAGAACGAATGTTGTGCTGGAATCGTTGGTCTGAGTTCAGTCACTATCAAGTCTGTATGGAAAAGTCAAAACGAGAACTTCTATATCAGCTCAATGTGGTTAAGCTAGAGAGAAAGAAAGAAATTAATATGTGTATAGTCTACACTAGTATAGATTCAGACTACACATGTCGGATACGAACTAACATCAAAGTTTCAGATCATCGAGCAGAGTAATGTAACTGTCGGAGTAAGAAAATCCAGAGCAGTTTGCAGATAATCTTATCAATATGACTTCAGATAATGACTATTAAGAAACCGTGTCGTTAAGCTCATAATTACCTACGGGAGCAAGGCACAATTGCAGTTCGTGCTTACTATTAATATTATAAATCAGAAGAGTGTCAACGTAGAGAAATCTTTCACAAGAAAGTAAGGCACGCGGTTGGAAGAAAATCAAATGTAATTACCAACAGCACTACACTGACGAATGCCACAACTGCGCCCGCCCTCGACGTCCAGAGAACTCAATGCAGTGAAATGGCACTTCTGCTTGGTATCTACAAGAAGCAGTTTTTATCACGCAATTTCAGCAGGCCCCACCTATTCCAAAAATTCGCTGATTCAATCACAATCACGGTAAGAACAAAATACTTTTACAGAAACCCCTTCTATTCAATTAGACGATTTATTGCCTTGCGAGCCCCAATTTCCTATTCCCAGCGCCTCTTTGGCCAAACTCTTAACCCTATGGGGTTTATCCTCAGCGATATGACTTACTTCTAGGTCTTCCTACGTCTCTTTCTTCTCAGTGGGCATATTTTATTGGACATTTTAGCGTCGTATTCCTCTTCATTCCCTCTGTAATTTTTCTTATATTCTCACATCTCAGCTATCAATTAAGTTTCTTATTTCTGCGATTTGTAGTTCATTAAATTTGTTTCAAGCAGTGGTCTAAGATCTCTCGTAGGCGCAATCCTCGTACTCTGACTACCTTCCTTATATCCCACGTTCTAATTCAAAAGAGGACATGAGGGTTGAATACAATAGAGTGTAGCCCCACTGATATTTCTGTTCTCAATTGCTTTCAAAAATGTTGAAAACAATTTATTTAATTAGAAAGTGTCAAATTATTAAAGTCACCTGAGCAACTTCATGCTACCCTTACAGAACACCTCCTGTGTAAGTTCTGTTTAGCCTTTACCAGGAGTCTATAAGAATCCATTGAAATATATTACTGAATTTATTGGTGTGTTAGTGCTCTATCTTATTTTGTGTGTATGCGTGTGCACGTGCATTGACATTAAATAAAAATTAACTGTAAGTAAAGAAATATTAAATCCAGCATGTATATTTCATTCACATACTCAGAAATTTTTGTACATTTATTGTATCTGAAAGTGAAACTTTGATTATTTGTAAACAATTTTACTGATGCTTGGATGAGTGTGAGCCCTGCCAGACTTTCCTTGTGCTCCAGCACTTGTCCCACAGCTGCTGGCTGTCTATCTTTTGTTGTCAGTAAGCTGCATTGAATTTTCACTTTTTGTCTGTTTTTAATTATGTGTATTCATTTACATTGACTCTTAAAGTAGAGTGGATTTAATTCTGTATTCACTGTTGTATGGTATTTTTTCCCTATTATTTACAGTATCATACGTTAATAATCTCAAACAATACAGCCCATCCTCGAGTGTATTCTTGTTTGTGTGTCTTATTGGGGTAATTCTGAAAATTACAGCTAGCAGGGCTATAGTTAAGAGTCAACAAACCAGCTTCTTCTTCATCATCTATTGCTCTCTGGTCCGTATTCGGTCCATGGCCTCCTCAATTGTCCTATTCCTTCGGTCCGTCTGTCCGAGGTTTAGGTTTCGGAACATCTTCCTTTTTATGGTGCAAGGTTGCTGGCCTTGCGACCAACCCGGAACCTGGAGGACCACGGTACCTGTCTTAGTCTGACCTCTCCTCCTCGACTAATCTGGCTAGGGAGGCCCTACCAGTAGCTATGCTACCGCCAGCATAGCTCTTGGGGTCACTGAGGTACACAAGCCCCACCACCACGACAAGGTGCAGCTAGCAGGGGTATAGTTAAGAGTCAGCAAACCAGCAGTGTGTGGCCTTGTAATCCTGGGGTCTCGGGTTCGATTCCCGGTGGTGCCCGAATTTATAACTTGTGTTGGGCAAGGCCGTGGTCTAGGCAATACGGAGATTTCCTCCGTTGCATCCCAACAATTACTCCATTCACACACAGAAGAAGGCAATGGATCATCTGCCAAGAACGTATATGAACAGGTCCCAGTCCGAGAAGAGAAAAGGATGGAAGGATCCTGTTCATATGGACCTGTCGTCAGACAGAACACTTTAAAAAAAAAACATAAATCCAGGTGGTAATAAATTTTATTATAATTGTTACCTTCAGCATGTGCTGAGGAGAACATTCAGACCTGACAGGAATGAAGTAACACAAGAACGGTAGAGCGGCACGAGATGTTGTTCAGGGGAAGGACCGACGAGGCAATGTCAGGTCAGGCCCATGTGGACATAACACCCAAGAATGTTGCAGAAGTGGAGGAAGCTGTGTCTGTGGATAAACACTGCAGCATTCATTCACTAGCAGTGCAATTCAATGTATGCATCAACACAGAATCATGTGATGCCTGGGATATTTTAAGGGGTGCACCCAATAGGTCCAACAAAAGCTACAGCACGACACTACTGGTGGAGCATTTGCAGTTCTACCAGACAGAGGGCAGTGATAACAAGTGATACAGCCACTTTGAACCCATAGCAAAAGCTTTAAGCATGTAACAGAAACATCCATCCTTCCCCCACCACAAGATATTCAAGTCCCAACAATCTGAAGGGAAGGTCATGCTGACTTGTCTGATATCACACGACTGCTGATGCTGGTGTTCATGGACCCTAACATCACCATAAACGACTAATCACTAAAGAAACACAAGGAAAATATTTTCTGACACTGTTCAGTATGGCTCTGCATACAATGCATTCACATACACAATACATTTAAATGAAAGAAAATTAAATATAAAAAACAGCAAAGGATAATATATTTGGAAACATGCACTCACTCTCTCTCTCTCTCTCTCTCTCTCTCTCTCTCTCTCTCTCTCTCTCTCTCTCTCTCTCTCTCTCTCTCTCTCTCTCTCTCTCTCTCTCTCTCTCTCTCTCTCTCTCTCTCTCTCTCTCTCTCTCTCTCTCTCTCTCTCTCTCTCTCTCTCTCTCCACCTTCACAAGCAGCAGTACAGGACTTTCCAGCACTGCAGCCTTCACATTCCACTTGAACCGATCTCCAAGAATACGGATGAGTGGACCCGTGATATGAACCACAGATGGCTGGAGAGCTTGAGCACTGGTCAGTTTTATCACTTCACCTAGGCCCTGTGCAGCCTGCTCTTTTATCTCAGGAAGCCCATTAAGAATAGCTTCACGAAAAATAGGAAGAATCGGCATGATGCCCTGCAAACAGAAAATGTAATCAATGGCCAATTTTTAGGCGCATTTGTAAATGAGAGTATGCATTTCAATCACGGGAAGCCCCTATAATAAAACCTTTCAGTTTATCATCAAAACTGAATGCTCAGTTTACTCCTATGCTCACTTTGAAGTAAATAAATAAAACAAAAGTCAGAAATTTAGAAAACAGTGATAATAACAACACTAACAATATAGCATCAACAATACAATTCTCTATTTCAATGCGCTAACTCAACGGCTACAGGAGAAAATTATAGATAAAACATACACAAAAAACAGAAAAAAGTGAAAACAAAACTAAATTAAATACAATGTCAGACAATGCATCTGGCATCCCAAAGGAAGGACCTAAAATCCATATTTCTATCCAGTAATTTTTATGGTGGCAATTTCCTATGCCTGTCATGTTTAAAGCTGTTACTTCACGGTTGTTTGACTCTCCATCATGTGTGCGTGGCGCCACTGCTGACAGTCCTCTTACTGGTAAGAGAACGCAGCTTGTTTCTTTGAACGCGTTCAGTCAGAGGATAGCGTAAGTTGTGGGCTCTTATGTCCTTTCAGATAATAAAGATTATTACTAGGCCAGATTTTAGAGGTGTTTCAATTTTTCATAAAAAAACAAATTGTGAATTGTAGATATAGCATACCTCAACATATGACAATAATATACCTTTGGTAAGCAAAAGCCAGGAAGCAAATCTTGTCCTTTTAAATCACTGACAGCAAAACGCACGGCCGGTCGTATGTCCCCAACATGAGTGGTTTGTTGGGAAGAGTCCAGAGTCTGTAAAACAAAAAGTATTCCAGCATAATACAGGAAGATTGAAAGGGAAGATTCGTGTCTACAATCGGAATACATAAAAAAATTTATATGCATTTCTTATAAGGGACATACAGTATTTGGATAAATACGGCATTAATCTTATAATGTTAGAAAATCAAATATGGCAAAAGTAAAATTTTTCTGCCTCTATTATTAAGCTCCACACCTTAGACATGTGGGGTGGTGGAGGTATATATCCATTCTTCCGTGTCCTCAGCAGTAGATAGAGGTGAGTGGCCAGCTTCATGCACCAACCACTTTACCTACCCCATAGGGAAAGGTTCCCTGGTACTTACCCACTGCAAAGGATGCTGTGTGCACCCTAGAGCCAGTCTGGATGCAGAGGATTAGGGGAAATTATTTTTCCCCTGCCAGGAACTGAACCTCTGTCATCCAGCTTGTAGCCAGTCACTATACAGAGACTGAGCTAACCCAGCTCCTCATAAAAATTAAATCTGAGAATTTAAATTAATCCCTACCACTTACATTTGCATAACCTAATTATTACACAGCATTCCTTAATTAAATAAACCAAACTGAATTACCAAATAAACAAATTAAATTTTACCTGTTGCTTTATATGGATATGAAACTTGGTATCTCACCCTAAAAAATGTATACATCAATCAACAACAAGGTGTTAACTGATGCACATACAATATAAGAGGGAGGGCACAATGCTTGGCACTCTTCATTAAATCAGGGAGAATAAGATGGGCAGGACGTAAACAATGCATGGGAGAGGTATGAAACACAAAATTTCATTCAAGAAACCTCAGCGAAGTTACTACCTGCGACACTTTGGCACAGATGACAAGACAATATTAAAATGGATATTAAGACAAAAACAGCGATGAGATTTAAATTGCATTCAACTAGCTCTGTACCTTGGTAACAGCACTGAGAACTTCCCATGCCATCTGAAACACATCAGAATTTGAGTCTGTGAACATAAGTATTAGGCCTCGCAGAAGCTGTGGCACATACTGAGAGTAGTCAGCATGAATGAGCCGACAGAAGGCGCAGAACGTCGGAGCTCCACCTTGTCTGACCGAGTGGACCCCATCAGCTGGTCCATGATTGTCCGAATACCAACTTCATCCGTCACTGACAGTATTCCAGCTCCTGCAGACAAGACCAACAACCAGGTTATGTTAAGATATGCATAAGCTGCACTCAACTTGAATTATCCGCCTGTTGTGAAAATGTAAAATAAATTAAGTTGGCCTGTTATGCCGAGGTCAGCCTCCACTCAGATTCAATTTCTATAACTTCAATCAAATTATCTTAATGTCAAATTTCTTCCCTTTAGCTTTCCTCCTTCTAGTTTCAATTCCCTATCAAAACACTTTTCCTAACCACATAAGTATATGATACAGAACAATCTCAGTATAATGAACTTCTGTGGACAGACAAATTATATTCGCTACAATCACATCTCATTACAATGATAGGCAATATTAATGAATATGACTGAAGTGTAGTTTTCTGAACGATTTCCAGCAACACAAAAAGTGCAATGACTATGTGCAGTTCGTTACAGTTATCTCTTTCCACCTTCTCATCACAGAAAGTGATCCCACATTCACATTTCATGCATAAATACAGTGTTACGCATACAGATTCATCTGCGCCAAAATGAATTCTATAAATTCCCGGTGAAACATCTTTTGAAAGCTGTCACCCTATCGCCGAAGCTGTGGTCCGAGCATATAGCAAAACACTTCACATACACTTTGAAAGGAATTTATATCTGTCCGCAATAAGTTTCACAACAATAAATTTCGTAATATGCTAAGCACCACTCCCACTTCTAGCATATCACTTTCATTCTTATGAGTTTCAACAAGCAATGCTTGTAAAAAAAACCCTTCTTTGATACATTCATAAACAGAATTATACCCTCCCACATTTTTCATATCCAATAATCTGTCTAAATATCAGATTTGTTGTATAAAGTGAAGCTTTCGTGGCGATGGAAGTTGATGAAAGACTCTCGGGTAACAAACCACCTGACGCGGCTTGGCACCCGAGAGTATTTCATCATCAGATGTGTTGTTTGCGCTGTAAGACCATGACTCTCCAAAGTCATGAGCTTACCAAGTAAGACAGCATGCTCTATTCATTTATTTAGTAGCCTACATTTATGAGTGAGATCATCAGATGTTTACCTGAGCCTGTGTTTCTGAAACAAAGCTTCTCATTCATTCTAGTAATAATAGCATCTTGAAAGTGTTTGCAGTTTCATTAATTGATGTCACATAACACCAGCCTGTTGCTGAAAAAGGGAGGCAGACTACAGATGAATGACGTATGCGGCAAATTGCATTGACGGGTTAAATAATGGCTCACCTGGGCCTCATGTGTTGTGCCTTGGGCCATAGACAGAGCTGCCAGAAGTGCAGATAATACTTTATAAGAGCTTCGCCTGCCACAGAGGCAAGAATTGATAAAGCCTTGGTGTTTACTCGTGGAGGAGCGATAAGCTGTGGAACAAGGTACGGCAGAACCACGCGTGACTTTATGGCCGTCACCTGCCGTAACCCCTCTAGCGCGGACTCTGCAACCTTCGGGTGTGGGTCAATCTGAAAAAGAAAAAGTTTTCAATACTCCTTAAAACAGAAACTGACATTCCTTCCCATATGTAACTTGCAACTATAAAATTTTCACCAAGCAAATGGACTCTAATCAGAGGTATTTATGCACTAGTACCACTGTAGAGATCTATAATGATTAAAAACACACATTTCCCTTCAAACATCTGAATTTACTCATTTTGTTATCCATTTCCAATTGCTCTTCGTATGAGATCCACACAGAAATCTTGAAACATACAGCTAAATAATATACAACTGACCAGTTGAAATAAGTATTTGTGCAAAACACAACATACGAAAAATATCATGACTGAAACTCACATATTTAACCTGTGTAACAACACTGCCCCCTGCCCTATCTTCTTGTCTACCAGTGAATATGGATGCCAAAGCAACGTATAGGCTTTAGCTTCATTCTGTCATGTAACACAAATAAAAGACAAAAGCTATTCACCCAGAGTGACATTAAATCTGAATTTGCAATGGCATACCAAATGGTTGAGCATTGCCGGAAGGATGTCATCGAGTGCTCGGCCTCACTTCTGGCAGCGGATCACACAGTGGGCACCATGTCTTTGCTGGTAGAAGCCATTATCTCTGAGAGACCAATACACACTCCCTGTCTCTGATCTGGTTGATCCGACTCCAACCCCTTCACCAGAATCGGAATGATCTCTGGCAGCACCCGTTCGCCTAGTTTCCGCACTAGATCTCCTAAAGTACGGGCTGCAACCTGTCACAAAAACAAATAAAATTGCTGATAGTTCTGACAGTTATTATTGAGTAAAGTGTGCTGCCTAAAATCATACCTTTTACGCAGCTCTTAATTGTAATAGTTAAAAAATACTTACTGCAGATCCTTGCTTTTGATACTGAAAAATAAACCTTGTGCTTTTTAGATAATTTATAACACTACTTTCTACACTTATACATCACAAAAACAAAAGAGAGGAGGAATGTGGCAACATAGTTCGAGATACTAACCCAGAATTTGAATCGTAAGACCAAGGAAAACCTGTGATACAA